CTACAAATTAAATGCGACAGCAAGCGCGCTCTAGTGTGAACCCTCAAAGTGGCCCGCATGTGCAAAAGAAGACGTCACAAGAAGACGACACACACTCTGTTTAGACCCAGACCAAACAATATTGTTTGACTGATGGCCCTTAATATAAAGACTTCGGACTTTACATTTTCCAAGTTATTTTGTTATTTACATAACAATGTAATTAACCTAATAATTATCCTTATTGCTGTTTTAGAGAGGAGCGGTGGTTCAAAGGATAGTCACAGATTCCTGTCAGAATCTGCAGATTATACAGTATAAATAAAATGTTCTCGTTTCTCCAATGTTGTCTTCCCAACAGTTTCACTGACATCTACACTGGATGGCTGGTCCTGAGGCCAGCCATTTCATCAAGTTTGGCCTGCCGACACTTTTTGTTGGTACTCAAACCGCTAGTGTAATCGGTATACCAGGAAATCGTGCATTGACAAAAGTTTTCCTTTGCAATGCAAAGTGCATTTAAATGCTTTACTTTTTTCAAACTAATTTATCTAAATTAGCACGTTAAATCCCCACCCCTAGTTATTTTGTATATATCGCTTGGTGTTAGGGTATTCTCTGTCTGGGATAACTTTGGATTCCAGTTCCCATTTAAGTCATGGAATAGGCAGCACTAGCTAGCTATGGTAGAATGAGCTGCTAGCAAGACTACTAGTTGCCATAACTACCTATTTTTCAGCATGACTTTTTATAGCTGTGAGCACAAAAGCAATAACACGTTGGTTTAAAGGTTTAAAGGTCATTTATAGCCCTCGTTACTCTAGCCTCATGCACAGACTAAGGTACTAGCAAAATTTATATTAACTGATATGTTTGATTTTTTTTTTCAGAAGTAGCCATAGTTGATGTATTATGTTATCTTCTAGATTATTAAATTAATGCAAGAAATTTATGGAAAACTGCTGTTTGTAGTTGTTGTTTTTCAGTGCTTAAATGTTGGTGATGCCACAGAGACCAAAGTAAAACAGTGAGCACTGTATCAAAAGCCCTCTTCTGTCAAACGTGTCAGTGTCGTGTGATAGAGTTTTTCCTCCGTAGGTGTCCATGTCAAGCTCTGAGGAAAATGAAGTTGGAACTTTAATATACCAATGGATGGTCTCAGAGTTCAGTGGTAATCCTTTGTCTCACCCCACTCAGTCTGTAGAAACACATATGGATTGACAGTGCTTTAGCCGTCATCCATTGTTTTGCCTTCAATTAGGTGGATTGAATCTCCTCCATCAATTAGCCGACGTCTTGAGTTCCACTGTTCTTTTCACTCAGCGAGAGCGGTTCATCTCTTTTCACCTGAATCCCAGTGACACCTCGCCCTCTTTTTGTTGTCATGGGCTGCTGTAGAAGCTAAGGTGTCATGCCAGCTGAAAAGAAAAGTGTCTTCATCCAAACAGTATCACGCTTCTCTCCCAAGGGATCAATAGCTCCTTCTTTGTACGCCAACTGGCTCAATAATTCATGATGCCAATTTAAAAATGCAATGAAGTAGCTGTCACTTAGCACACTCTCTCTGCTCTGGCCCTTGGAGATGATCCCGCACGAAAGGCCATGTTTCCTGTCAGTGACTCAGTTTTTCTGTGTAACTTGAGCATAGGCTTCGCACCTCTACTGCAAGCTTCTTCTTGCTGGTTCACGCCTGGCTCTGTGGTGCGTAGTTACCACTCGGTTATTCGATCCCTGTCCTTGCTGGTTTCCTTTTTACGGCTCCATGATTAGCCCTATAGTGTGTCAGACTCTCCGTTTGACACCTCAGGTTGGGTATCTGCCTGTACTTGGTTTTTCTTTGTGAGGACACATTTCTTCCATTGTCTTACAATGCTCAGCAGGTAGAGAAAGATTTCCCAGTGGAATTTAATTGTTATAAAATGATTGCATAGTTTTATGCAATACAATGCATACAATTAAAAAGATGCTATTTTGTGATGTACACACATGTTAAAACACTGACTTTATGACTACAGCTGTTTTCATTCTTTAATAATTGGATAATTGGGGATAGGCAATAATCTAATTAATTTCAAAATTTAAGTGAAAAAGAGATATAATCTTTGCAGATTATTTTTTTCATTGTCCTAGTCAATTATTTGCTTTATTATAATATTTGATACAAAAGCGAGCATACATGGGAGTGCTTTTCCTTTTGATGATTTACAGATTAGGACAACATGTAGCAAATACAGCATTCATGCTTTGTTGCAAACGGGTGTGGTGCATAAGTTTGCTTCTCTTGATTTCAGTAATTGGTTAATTTTCAGTCAAACATACAACCATTTTAAATAAAATTTCATGGTGTAATGTTTCGCTTCATCAATCAAATGGCACACAAAAGTCACAAAGAGTTGCTGACATCTGGATTGAGTCCAGCGCCTGACATCTTCTCTCATGACCTAAGGACATGGGTCACGGTAACGAGAACTAATGAATTTTTAACTTGATTCTGAAGCGATAGGGAGAAAAACATTTACAAAGAACATAGATGCTTACGTACTAGAATCACATTTAATACACTTCAGGGGTATTCCTGGGGTGTCACAATATTTTTATGGTGTTGTGAATAAAAAATTGTGCAGTTGTGCTTTTTATAGGTTTTTTTTTACAGATATTGCAAGTGCATGGAAGTGGTATATCACTTTTAGGCACACAAATATTTTGCCCTAGATATTTATTATTATTATTATTATTATTCACTAATAATGATTTAAAAAGTGAAAATACTTTTTTTTGGCACTTTATATAGTTGGGTGGAAACCAGCATTTCCCTTTTAGTGCTTGGCAGTAGTGGAGTGGAAAAGAATCTTTCAACAAGAAGAAACCAAAGAGTGGGTTTCTACCTAGACTGGTGTAGAGGAGAGAAAAAATGTTTTTATATTTTGAAGTGTGGTTTTAAGTTAGGTGATTTCTACAGTTTAAAGTTTTTATCCTAACAGGTAAAATGATGCCATTTACCTGTAAATGTAAATGTATTCTTATTTGTGTTTATTTTATTTGCTGTTAACATCATCTATCATCATATTGGGGTGGCTGTAGCTCAGAGGAACGAGCAGGTCATCTGCTAATTTGAAGATTGGAGGTTTGGTCCCTGGCTGCTCCAGTCTGTAAGCCCATGTATTCTTGGACAAGATACTGAACCCTAAGTTGCTCTCTGATCCAATTATTCATGTATGAATACTAGATAGTATTTAGGTGTAGAAAAAAAAACGCGCGTGGGGGAGAGAGACACATGTTCTATAAAGCGGTGTGGTGTGAGTCTACATAAGAGCCAGCCCATTTACCATTTTAAAACCAATCGTGCATTTTTCATCACTGAAGAGAAAGTTTTGTTTTCATTGGCTCACTATTTTGAAAATAGTGACAAATTATTGCAAGCCATCATTCATTTGTGACAAAGGGCAGGAAAGACTCTCTTGAATCAAAGTCCATTATCGGCTCCTGACACAGTCTACTGCGTTTTTTTTGTGCTGCCTCCTGGTAATTTCCCACACATCTCACTCAGGGAATGTGGTGGCTGGTTGAGCAATCTACAGCATCTGAAGACCTCTGATGAACACTCGCGGGGATATTTGCTACATACGTCACATTTGTTCACTGCCCTATAAATAGTTGCTTAGTTTACATGTTGGGCTTTTAGCGGTCACTGTTACCCAGAACTGTCTCACTGAGACAGTAAATCTCTTATCGTAGAAGGAATGTACAAAATGTGGGTAAACGGAAAACAAGGAACGGCGGAGATAAATAATAATTAGCGAGTTTTCTTCAGTTTTTTGCTTTTCATTATTTGGTTTTTAATCAAATATTTGTTCAGTTTATTTGTTATTCACTATGCAGCAGCACTTTTGTGGAACAGTGAGAAAGAACCCAGTTTACTGAGAAAACCACCTTCTCCATAACCTCAAACCATCTCTTGGAGAAGAGTATTCCTATCATGAAACAATAAAAGATGTCACATTTAATTCTACGGTTCCCTAAACTATTCTCTGCTTCTGAGAACCTGAGGATGAGCCAGATGAGCTTTTAGTTTTGGTAGAAGCTGATTTTTCTGCCAAGTGCATACTAAAGCTCTCTTTAATGATTTCCAGGCTTGTTCAAATCGGTAAAACATGTCAGCATCACTTGTAACATATGCTGAAACGCAGTAGATTGCTAAATCACATTCTAAGCAGTCAAGCTCATCAAAGCAACACATTCTCAGCTGAGCTCAGAACACTGTTTATTCACAGCATTTGCGTGCTTAGTGTTTTGGACTCCTTTTCTCCGTCTTAACCTTGTAAACTCTTTCTTGCCTTAAAATTTCTACTGGTGTTTTCTCACGTTAAAATGGCCCACTTACGGGATATTTTGTCTGCATTTCCCAGGAATTTTTCAAATTTATATCACATGTCTAATGAGTAAAATATTGAAATTTTATTTGTTTTCCTTAGCATGGAAGTTGGAACGAATATCCATATTTAATGTCTGACTTGAAGTTATGGACTAGCAATGACCTAACATCTGAGCCTCTGGTTAATTCATCTAGTGTTCACTAAAGCCTCGTCAGAAATGGTCTCATTGGAAGGGTAGCCTTCAATAAGCTATTTTTATGGAGGTGAAAAGGCTGAAGTATGCCAAAGTATACAAGAACTAGATTGAAAATTAGTGGCAGCAGGTATTATGAATGGGGGAATCTGAATTTGAAATTTTCATCAGTTCAGCAGTGAGTGCCTATACTCACTGTTGTCCAAACACAACACCAGTGCAGTAAACGTGTACCTGGGTAGAACAAAAAACAATTGAACACTCAGTCATGGATTGGCCTCTCCAGAGGCATTACTGAACAGAACAGAAGGCAGCCAACATCCAAAGAAGAGCAATGAATGTCCGTCAAGAAGCCCGGAGAACTATTACCGAAGACTTTGATGTTAAACTCAAATTTCATGTTTGATATACTATAGTTATGATTCTATACTTTCCTCTACTCTCATTACTTACAGGCAATGAGCGATAGGCCATTCATCCAGAAGCTGTTTCGACCAGTTTCACCTGAAGGCAATGCATACACCCTTGGTGACCTGCTAAAGGAAATGTACCCAGCTGCTATAACAAATGATGGTAAGTGGTACACACGGGCAAGTTCGAAGTGAGGGAGTGGGTGAAATGTTTTGTTTTTGTAGTCAGCAGCATAGTCACATTTTCACTCATCTCCTTAATAACAGATAATGGCAATGCCATCAGGAATAATACAAGCATAACATCACTAACATAAACACACAAGACTGTAATGCCGACATCGCCACCAGTTAACACAAGAAGTAACAGAATGTGTTATCTTTGGTTTTCTTATCAAATGTGGGTCATGCCATATTCCAGAAGTGAGAGGAGAAAAGAAAGGATCCCTTCTTCTTCTTTTTTTTATGCTGCTACATGAGACATGTCTGAGATTCATTCTCAGAGATAATAAAGTAATATAACCATGAGATGGTCTCGGTGAAAAAAAATAGTGGTAGTTGCCAGAAAATGTGAATAGATATGGGGATGGGTAGATAAAGAGTTGTGAGTCATTAAGGCTATATTCACACTGCAGGTCTTAATGCTCAGTTCCAATTTTTTGATCAAATCTGATTTTTTTTGTGTGGTTGTTCACACTGCAAATAAAATGTGACAGCAAACACGCTCTAGTGTGAACGGTTCACGGCTCTCAAAGCAGCCCGCATGCGCAAAAGAACACGTCACACACAACGCGCTTTGCTTACGGAAGTAAAAGTGGGGGCTACAGAGCTAGTAGGTGTTGTTGCAGCCGTCTAACAATCTTTGCACAGTCGAAACCAACAGAATTTTGACAAATTAATTAGAGAAAGAAAAACACTGAGAAAAAAGAGAGCCCATGTTTTAACAATGGGCTTGTTTGGAGCAGGGGCTGCTACCTCCGTGCAGAGGTATATATGGACACGGAGTCGTTTAGCTTGAATAGAATTGTCTCCCCATATGCCTCGCTCCGTCTCCAGTTTCCGCTGCCATGCTTTCTCTTTTGTCTTCTCCGGCGCTGATAATTGGCGCCTGTCTTGTGTCAGTGACGTAAAAGACGGATTTAATGCGACA